GAGTTTGACAGTCCTGTTTTAGACATGAATTGCAGATTTGTGCCATTGTTGCTTTTGCATTTAAACAAGGGTTAACTTGTATTTGTCTCTTTTCGCCCTAGACCTGTTGGTGCTGAAAGAAGAGCGTGAAGAACTGAATGAAATGCAAGATAAAGATCAGTGTAAGAAATATCATGATTCCATAACTGGACAAAAATCAGAAAAGACTTGCTCACAAAAAAGAGCTCAAAAGACTGTTAGTGGAAGTGATTTCACCTGCCAACTGTGTGGAAATAGTTTCAGTCGAAAAGGAAGCCTCCAAAGGCACATGATAATTCACACTGGAGAGAAACCTTATACATGCCATCAATGTGGAAGGAGTTTTCCACATAAACACAAACTCAATGCCCACATGAAAATTCACACTGGAGAGAAGCCTTTCACCTGCAAAGAGTGTGGAAAGAGTTTCATTGAAAAAACAATCCTTAAAAGCCACATGACAATTCACACAGAAGAAAAGCCTTACACCTGCTCTCAGTGTGGAAAAGGTTTTACTCAACAAGGAAGCTTTAACAGGCACATGATGATTCACGCTGGAGAAAAGCCTTACAGCTGCCAACAGTGTGGAAAAAGCTTCAGTCAAATAGGAAGCTTTAAATACCACATGAGCACTCACACCAGTGTAGCATCTGCATAAAATCATGCATGGTCTTTGGGGTTCATGGCTTAAAAGACCCCTTTTAGCCTTTGACATTTGCATATAAATTACAGTCCTGGTCACAGACTTTACATTTATATGGGGGCTAAATTGCCAAATAATCATCCCCACTATCAAGGAGATGCTAAGCACTCCCCCACTATCATCTCCCCAACTACTTCAAACAGTTTCCAAAGACAAGTAAATGACCATCATTGTTTATTCTTCAAACAATGATGTACAGTATGTGATTGTGAAACGTCGGGTATTGGCTATTCCACCCAAAGTTGGGGGGTGAATAGAAACCCTCAAAAGGCATTAACCCAAAATGATCTTTGATCAGAAACCCTCTTCTTTTGAGACAACACTTTCCAAGACGACTTCTCCTCTCGAGTTTGTCTTTCGGCAGTTTTTATCTTCAAGTAACTTAGATTCGCTGTGAACTTTCCTATCTTCAGAAACACCAGAAGTAAAACTTCCAGCTCACTCCTAAATAACTCATCAAAGAACTCCGTTGTCTACAGCATCAGGACTCTTGTTCAGCAATCGAAGCCAATGCAAGTAACCATTTACAACTATTTAGATGCGTGTTTAAGCTTGAGCCCCTTTAAGGTGATTTTTGATTCTTTGATGATTCTCATTAGGTTGTGTTTAAAATTGATATGAAATACTGCCATTCTTTTATTCTCACTCTCTTTTCCTTACTTTGATTCATTCTGTATATATGTGTTTTGCTTAGTTAGTTATGTTAGATATAGTTTCATTTATTAAATCCCTTATATTCACAATCGATTGCCTCTGTGTGCTGCTCACAATTCGAAGTCAATGAATGTTTGAACCCTTGCTACATGCTAAATTACTGCTAGCACTGCATAAAGAAGGAAAGCTATTATTCCCTGGCCAGGAAAATAATCTTTCCTTGAATTGATAAATGATTATTTTGTCTGCTCGGTGGACGGACAGATCAAATAATTGTAATATTGATTCTGCTACAGTTAATTCTAAGATCTAATCTAAATATTTATTATTAATCATAACCAGTTAAATTAAACTCAATTAGAGACTATTTAAAGTGCCCCTATTATGGATTTTTTTTTAATTACCTTTCATGCAGTGTTTAACAGCTCTAAAGTGAATGAAAACATCCTGCAAAGTTTTAAATCTGAAATTGCACCGTGTATAAAGTTATTGTTTCTCAAAAGAAAGAGTAGACTTTAAAATGACTCATTTCAATGATTCAAACTAATCCCAAGCCGTTTCATGTTGACGTCAACATGAAACATTAGCATATTGCCCACCCACTTGTTTGTCTTTTCGCCTTAGTGGCAAAGAATGAATTTGTATTTTCATTCAGACCAAGCGCTGTACACAAAGCAGCACTGTGCTCACAAACGCTGCTTTATCAGGCATTGCAGGCATGATGAAATTAAAATGAGACCAATCACAGCAGATTAGCGTCACGCAAAGGAGGGGTTTGGGAAAAAAGAATCGTTGAGCGAATCGTTAGGGAGTTGTTGAGCAAGTAAGGTAAAAATAAATGCATATTATAAGACGATGAATGTGTTTTTTGACCTTGCATGCATGTCAACCTGTTGTTGGGGACTCCCAAAACCAAAATATGAACCTTTCATTCGGGCACTTTAATATAGATTTAATGGTTACATTTTACTTGAAGTGGTGTGCATTAGACTGGCATGACACATTCATTAACATGGCATGACATGCATAAAAACCTCCTTCGTATTTATGACATGTTTATGGCAACTGTCATTAAGTGTCATTAGCTCAGTTATGTCATTTTTAATGCAAAGATGACATTGCTTTATGCACACCCTTCAAGTAAAGTGTTACCGATGTAATAAAGTCTCAGGTGTACCCAGAATGTTTCTGTGAAATTTTAGCTCAAAATACCTCAAAATTTAATGTTTCATGTTATAAATGCCCTTTCTTGGGTGGAAGCAAAAACACAGTTTTCTCGTGCGTCTCTTTCAATGCCAATGAGCTGCTGTTCCCCACTTCTTTTCCAGAAGAGGCCCGTGCCTTTACAACAACAAACTAAACATCTACATGTGTTTTAAAGCCTCATCAGTTTGAACTCCAAAAAAATGTTTTTTTAACCACACACATGAAGTGCACACACAGAAAGCCGGGTGTCAGACAGCGCGTTGTGTGAGTATTAAACTAAGTTCTCTTACATGTTAAATGTCAGATACACACAAAGTTGTTAAAAGCACAGAAAAAACACAAGTTCACATCATCAGGGTTTCCACAGGTCCTTAAAAAGTCTTAAATTTAGTTGTATTAAATTTAAGCCTATAAAAAGTCCTAAATGATACAAGCAAGTCTTATGATTTCAAGAGGTCTTAAATTTGGGGATGGAAAGACAAGAATTGTGCCTTAATGTGATGATTAAACTTTAAAATGCTATGAAACGTGCAGCGCTCAAATCAAGGTTGACCCATATTTTTACACAAAGTTGTAGACTAGACTAGATAAAGTTTGTCAAGACAAACTTTCTCAAGTCAACTTTGAATTGTAGACTAAACTAGATAAAGCCAGTCCAGAAAGTTTTTAAAAAGTTGTGAAAGTTTGATGGTTTTCAGTTTGAGATAGTTTGAAAAAGTTAGCATGATTAACAATTTGCTAGCACGTTGTTAGCATGATCAGCTAGTTATTAGCATGTTGCTAGCATATTTCTTACATTATTAGCATGTTACTAGCATGTAATGATGGGTCATTCTTGAATGATTCGTTCATTTTGAACAAATCTTTAATGTGATTCGGGAAGAACGAGTCGTCTCAGGGAGTGATTTGTTCAGTCGCACATGCGCAACATCCTATGGGTTCTGTACTGGAATTAGTTAACCTGTTTAGAGGCTTCGGGTTTTCGAGTCGTTTGTTCATCACGTCGGGTTTTCGAGTCGTTTGTTCATCATGTTGAGTTTTCGAGTCGTTTGTTCATCACGTGACAGCCCCATAAGCTTAAGCAATGCAAAAAGAAAAAAAACGAGCATCTCTGCTTTATCAAAGTGATTTCGTTATCATATGAACAAAATATTACCACAGGAAAAAGAACCATCATGACAGAAATTCACACATTTATAAACTAAGAAATAAATTTGAAATAAAATTTGAGACCAGAAATGCATCATGTAACTGTAAGAGTAAATAATAATAACTGCACCCGTTTGTAAGGATTGGGAAGGTTGCGGTCACGTCACGTGACAAAATAACGAAAGACTCAAAAGATTAACTAATTCATTCTCTTTCCGGCTCAGACTGCATTGAGTTTTAAAAGTGTGACCATTTTCAGTTTTAAATAGTTTTGAAAGGCAATACAGTCTATTAAAAAAAGAAAGAAAAAGTCGGACCAGAAAGTTTGAAAAGTTTTAGAAGTTTAAAAAGATTC